TTAGTATGCTGTTCTTCTCTGGGAAACATTTCGATCTCACTTGGTCCTCAGATCTATGATCGTCTTGACACCCATATCATCTCTGATGAACTGCCTGTCTGAGAGAGTGGCATCATCTAGAGTTGTCTCAGCAATTGTTAGGTCTCATCTATGTGTGATGTCTCGTACCTGGCCTGGCAGCGCGATAGAACAAACCTTCGCGAATTCGCCTAATGAGAATTAGCCAACTATGTCTCCTGGCGCGACAAGTAGTGATACCTTGTGCCCAAAAAGTCATTGACCGTTTGGCCCACATCACGGAAGTTGAGAACGTTCTCAAGGTCAACAGAGGAAGTCATAATGGTTTGCCAAGAAACCTACTGCGTGGGAATAGAGTTAGCAAGTCTAATTCAGGGTCCTCAAGCCACCGATAGGATTGCAGCTGGGCTGTGTACGGTAGTTGCAGCGCATTGACGATGAACTAACGAACGGAACAGGAGGAAACCCGGAGCAATAGACTATCAAGTTGGTGTGCAACACAGACTCGAAACCAGGGTTTGTAGTTTTACGAGAAATCGATCAATCGAACCAAATGCGCCTCAAGAGATCGGAGGGTTCAAAGCGGACGCTAGAAGAGGGCTAAAACACACCAAAAAGGCGACGAGCAGCGTCGATCTCAATTTCGATACCGAAAACGCCGAGCGATCATTCCGGAGCCAAGACGAGACAAGATGTACCGTTGATTCTCAGGTGAAGATGCAGATTCCGTCCCAGGTTTCAGGTACAGACTCTGTTTCTCCTGTAGTAGCTTACTTGAGGGAAAGATCTGTCTGTTGGCTGGCCGTGACTCGACCTTGTGGCTTCGTGACTAGTCGTTCGCAGCTCGATCTTGGCTTCATAGGCTGAGCAAAAGAGCCATCTAATTCCAATTGGGAGATATCTTCAATGGATGACGGGAAGCTAAAAACTTGCTAAGCTGATAAAGATACAGTGCGAATTGATAGCGGTCTGGTGTGTTGTGGCAGTGTTACAGTCGGCTACATAGTACTAAGGTAGTGGAGAGACAGGAGGAACCTGAGAAAGCTGAAGATAAGCCATTCGCTACGTGATAATGGTGACAAGACAAGACAAGACAGGGAATGCCTGGAGAGAGCCTTATTTAGTGAACCTTCACTGTATTCAGCTCCTAAGTAGACGGAGTTCCCATACCGAAGAACCAACAATCAAAGCTGAATATCATGAGACAACCTGGATACTGTGCTCCTTCTGGCTAACACTAGCCACTAGCGTCTGCACCTGAGATCATCGCCAAGGGCCGAGTGACGTCACAACTAGCACTATCTGGGGTAGCGCATCGTAGGTCCGGGAAGGGAAAGAGCTACGGCAACGACCCTGACGTATGCATCCCATGTGAAGGAAAGAGGTAAGGAAGGCAAGCACCGCACCGTCCGTCTTGTCTCGGGGCCAACGAAAGAACGACGCCATTTGAGTGAGGGCGCCACGAAGACGATGGGAGGGTCTCCTTTGATAGCATCATCATCATCATCGTCTTAGTGAATAAATCTTGCTTCTACCCATATTTTACTCTATTCATTCCCTTCTGTTTCCTCACGATTGAGAGACAACACCAAATACTCGACTAATACCTACGCGAACCCTACCTCTATACAGTGTCGTCACTCAGCATTTATCTCATTTATGTCGATATTCCCTGCAAAGAGATAGCCCATTCGTCTCCACCGTTGAAGCAATTCCACCTCAAGACGAGCACCCGGCATATCCATGTTCGACATAGGAACTGTCAATTAATATCAACTGCATACAACATTACAACTGCCAAGAGCCTTGGAAATCCATAAAAAAAAAAGCATTGTAACAAATTCCTTGGCTCTGTCGAGAGCTTATCACCACACCGGGTCCATCGCGACCAATCTACTTCCTCGCATCGTACTCCAGTGAAGTCTCACCCTTTCGAGGCTCCAATACGAAGGGCTGAGCCAGCACCTTCTGACGTCCTTATACCGATGCCCACCAGCACATCCCAGCAGCCAACCATGATCCAGTCACAGCCGGCAGCGGCCACAGGTATGTACCGGTGTCCCAGCGATATTCGTCATCCGCCCACGCATGGCCCAGGTCTTTTCTGACATATACATAGTGGCCAATAATTCAGGTCGGCTCAAATACGCAGATCCTAGAGATCTTCCTAGCTATCCATCTGCTGGCCTTCGTCCTGACGGTGCTGCTGCAAGTGCCGCTGCTTCACTTGGATGGTCTAATCAAAAACCCATCGAGCTTTGGAAACCTGACAAAACCTCATCAGCATCCGCCGCTGCCGCTTTAGCCAAGGATTACAAGATGGCTCCAGCATGGGAACCAACATCCAACTCTGCTGGCCACAAAGCCGCACTTCTAGCTGTTGGCTCTGCTAATGCTGCCTTGAACCAATCCCCAAGCCAGCCCAAGTCACACGAAGGATGGGGAAATTCTGCTGCCACTCAAGCATTCAACACGAATCGAGCCAATTCAACGCGACAGCCTGACCCAAGAGCATCTGATACGTCGCTGCAAGGACAAAAGTCTCTGGCCGCCGCCAAAGGTGCTATGTCAACAACTAGACGACGAGCTAAATCGACGCCATCAGCACCAGACTCTCATGTTCCATCATCCCCCAAGACTAACACTCGACCCGATGCGCTCAGCGGAGCTGCACTTGCTCACAAAGCAAGCCTCAGGGCCAAGCCGGCAACAGAAAACGCCGGTGCAGTACCAGTGACTACCATGACTCGCAACATGTTCACGTCCAATCCGCCAGTTAAACCGGAGGTAGATGAACGTCAAAACAACGAGCAACTCCATGCTTCGGCGGTTGCGATGGCCCGAAAGATGTATTCGCATCAACAAAAGATTATCGACGAAGCCAAGGAAACGCATGGGCAAGGCTCTGATGCGCCACAGCCAAAACCATATATTAATCTCCAGGACGCTGCATACAAACAAGCCCAAGAACGACTGGCGAAGCTTGAACAAGAACACCAGAAGAATAGAGACTACCAATCTTACTATGGAAACGAATCTTCACCTAAACGGCGGTTTACATTGACATCCAAGCTGCGTCGTCGCTCCTCTAGCGACGGTGATCTCGATGATAGACAACAATCCGAAAGAATACGACAGCAGATGTCACTCTTCTCCAACAAGCTTTCAGAGGTTGATCAGAAGAAACGACAGGATGACCGCAACGCACTTCTTGCTGCGGCACAACGTAATGTCAAGGCCAAACTGCAAGGTATGGATGAGAAGGTTTATCATGAAACTGGCAAGGTCAACCCAACTCTTATGAGTGAGTGGGAGCTCAAGGCTCACCAGTTGGCGAGTGCTAGCCACGAGACCCGGAACGCAAATAAAGGCAAAATCGACATCGGAGGTGGCAGGTTCATGGATCCTCACGATATAGACGCCATCGCAGCCAAAAGAATGCAGCCTCTTCTGGATGACATTAACGAAAAGGCTGAAGTTGAGCGCGAGCGACTTGCTACACTCAAGATGGAAGAGGAAGCAAGAAAGGCTGAGCAGGAGAAGCAAAAGGCTCGCGACCGCGAAATTAAAGAAATCACCAAGAAGCTCAAAGGTATGTCAACAGCGAACATTCATTTACGTTGTGGCTGACTAATTCATTTAATAGACCAAGAGAAGCAGGAGTCCAAGGCTAAGAAGGCGGAGGAGAAGGCGGCACGAGCTGAAGAGCGACGCCAGGCCAAGGAAGAGAAGCAACGGACCAGGGGTAACACAGCTGTCTCAGGCGAAGAAGCTATCGATGATGGCGCGAGCACAAGAAGCGAAGAGGTTGCATCACCACCTGTTGTTGCGCCAAATGAGTCTAGTGAGCCTGTTGCCCCAACCGCAATCGATACAGAAGCTGCGACAACGGAAAGGGGCCGCAGAAAGCTCAGCGATGCTGCATCACCAACTTCCAAGGTCAAGGGATGGATCAAGAACCGGTTTTCACGAGGCAAATCTCTTGGAGAGAAGGATCGTGAAAGCCAAGGTGTCAAGAGAAGCAGTTTCATTGGCGGAGCCGCTCTCAGGGATACAGACGCAAATGAAAGTTCAACAAGTCTGGACAACCGGGCTACGAGCATGCGAGATGTTGCCCTTGCGGGTCGCAGCGCAAACGCTGAGGCAAACGACCATGACCGGGATGTACTACATGATTCGCGCGGCATCAGCCCTGTGAGCAGTGTCAGTGACGACGAGGCAGTTCCGGCTATTACTCCTCCGCCAGCAATTAAAGACCCTGCTGGAAGGAAGAGCCAAAGTCCTTCACGAGATTCGAGATTTAGAGAGATGATGGATAATTAAGCCAGTATCGTTCCAAGGCAGAAGTTTGGAGAGTTTCATGGAGGAAGGTGAAATGATGGGATTAGTTTGAACTATGCCTGGCGCAAGAATGGATCGCTGTGTATCTGTAATAATAAAGCATCATTAGTTTTTAACAGCCGGATTATAGCAGTGGGATAGTTGAAAAGGATGTCTTGCTAGTGGTTTAAACTCAATGTCCTTTGTTAGAGCTATGACGTGGTACATGTACGGAACTCTCGGATGAATATGACGATTAGACATGGGCCCAGATATAATCACGAGACAAAGCAGGATAGTATTTGGCAATACACAGCAATAACGACACAAAGCACGAAGGATGACGAATGTTACTCAAAATGTGTATCATTATGTTGATATTGTTTAAGTTATGTCTAATCAATATACACGAGGCGGTTCCTCTGCAAGTTCATCTATCAGATAGTTCATGTACAAGAACATGATATAAGCCATGCAATGCAGTCCCGTAAACGAGCCAATTCTCGCTCGATCCAAACGCCATGCAAAGAAGGGAAGAAAGGGGGAATCATTCCGGCATTATTCCATAGAACATGAAATTTCGTATGTAGAGCATTATAAACGTTGAGTCTAGTTTGTTGTGCTGTAATAGGTTTAGCATATGTGTGATTTTTGCGGCCTGTCTAGAAGTCTCTAGGAGGCACACGGTTACTGTTCTGCGCCATCTCGACATCGTGGTGACCGTTTGCGGGTGCCTCCGAGTTACTGCGCGACCCGTGACTGGGGCTCCTCGAATCAGAGAGGGCAGAAGGCATGTAGTTGGACTTTTGGTACCTCGCGTCAGGGCTCTTTGTGCGAACGGCAGGATAGAGGTCGATGACGAAGGAGAGGGCGTAGAATGTGAAGATGAAGGATATGGCCCATTCGAGGATCGCGGCGGGGTTTCGCTTTTTGACAAGGCTGCATACGCCAAAGGCGATGATGAGGGCGACCTCTAGCAGGATGAAGGTGAGCTTCACCCAGAAAGACATGCGAAGGACACGATGCTCGCGGTAGTCTAGAGGTTTGTTGGTTAGTAGGCAACGGCTGAAGATGGATGTAGGTAGAGACTCACTGATTCCAAGGCGTTGGTACTCCCAGCAGATGCAGACAGCCGAGAACAGATAGCCTCCAATAAAGAGCGCCAAAAACGTGTTGTGCAGTCTGCTATACTTGCCAGTCTTGAAGATAGAAAGACAGATAAGTCCCACGGTTCCAACGGTCGCAAAGGCTATGGAGAGGCCGCTGAGGACCTTCTCCATGAGGGTCGTGTTGGGCACGAGACGGCCCCGATGTCGCAGCCATCGCTCAGACAAGAACGCAGCATCGAGAAAGATAGAGGTCAGGACGCAGCCGACGATGAAGAGAGGCTGGAGACGGTCGGCGCCGACATTGGAGATGTAGGCGATGTCGGAGTGAATCGATTGAGTGGGATATCGACGGCCGTGTTGATTGACTTGCCATTCGAGGAGCAGACCGAGAAGCATTCCGAGCCAGACGAGGCCTGAAATAACTGGAAACCACTGATCATGTTAGTTGGTATATACCCTCTTGGAAGGTTCAAATAATCATACCCAGTATGAAAATATGCCTTTTACAGCCATTGTGTAGTTTTAATGTTATGTGGTGACTCTATGATGAGATGTGATGATGTTGCTGTAGACTTGGTGTTTCGCAAAACTGGTGATATGGGCGGGCAACTCTTGAGAGTCGACCCAAATAAGGCAGTGACAGCAGCACCTGACCTAGAATTTGCTTGGCAGGGACAAAGTAAATGAAATAGATGGAACAAATACGAAAAGAGAGGGAAAATGGAAAACGAGACAAGGGGTAGGGTATTAATTATATTCCCGTGTTTTATGGATGCTTGGGCTTGGGCTTGGGCTTGGAATTATTCGGTATATTATGGGTCTGCGTTACGTATTGCAACTCCAGGGTTTTTCGATCTTGATAATTCCAAGCTTTTTTTACAATTCTCCCTCCTTCTCGGCCGGGAACTTTTACAGTCTAGCTACCAAGTACTTGAGATCACCGCTAAATACTCCACGGCCGAGGATCTCTCGGGTCCTCGGACGTGTCCGCGGTTCCTAAAGTCCGGGATGTTTTTCGGCAGCCCGGTTTTTTTTTTTTATGGCGGTGCTCATCACTCGTCATCAGCCTTGTTACAGTGGAAAAGAGCCAAGAATGGCTGTGGTAACTCTTTAATGACTTGGCATTGACGCGGCGGTTACAGGGGGGGGTTACGCGGCAGTCAAACCATCCAATGCAGCGAATGCTTGCAGTGGCGTAGAAGGGGAAGAAGAAAAAGAATCACTTAACTAACTAATGCGAATGGGGTAATTGGGTTAGTATTCCTCAGCTGGAGGAGAGGAGAGAGAGAGAGAGAGAGAGAGAGAGAGAGAGAGAGTATCATAGAATGAATGGAGTTTATAATCGAATGACATCATCCCCTTTTGTTTATTTACATTGATTACATCACATTCTTCGCTTACAAAACTTAGTCTGTCACTGCCCAAAACAAGCCTCAGCCGACGACGTCGTTCGGTGGAGACACTAAAGATTCAAGGGGGCCTCCCTCACTATAAGTCTAAGCTTCCTAATCCTTGCATGAATCATGAGCTGAAGCAGGGCCCTTACATTGTAACCTCGACCCTTACTCGAGTATATCCAATCACTCTCAACAAGTAACAACATCCTTGACTTCAACTGCCAAAAACAACTTCAACAAATGCACGAATTCTGTTTTATTATTAAACAAATCAACTCTTCACTCTCCCGCCCATGTTTTGTTCCTCAACACACGCAGCATCGATATGGTCGTCCACAGTAGTCATAGCACCATGTTACATAATTACAACAGTGTCTCCAGCGGCGTTCGAGCTTGTTGTGTCTCTCAGAGTCACTGGACTCACTGTTAGTCACGGCTCTTTTCAGAAGTTTAGGACCTCCATCATTGACACGAACCTCATCGTGGGGGATCGTGGGGATCCTTAGTGGTGATGATCATACTCATGCTCGTACTCAGGATCCTTATCCTCGTGCTTGTGCTTGTGCTCATCGTGATGCTCATTCTTGTGCTTGTGCCCGTGCTTATGTCCGTGGATGTGACCGTGTTCGTGGAGGTGTCCATGTCCGTGGCCGTGCTTGTGCCCATGCTTGTGCCCGTGGTGATGGTTGTGGTAGTGCTTGTGCACCTTCTTGTGCTTGTTCTCTCCGTCTCCCTCGGAGTCACCCTTGCCGACGGTCTTGTCCAGCGCGACTCCGTCCTCGAAGTTCTGGCCTGTGATCAGGGGAGTGTAAGGGAACTTCGCAAAGGCCGCCTGGACGCTGCCCTTGGTGGTGCCATCGTTGGCTCCCTGCTTGGACATGATGATCTTGAGGCTCTTCTTGCACTCAATACGGCGACCGATCTCATAGACCAACGCCTATTCAAAGTCAGTATGTGAGTCTTGGTTTTCCTCATCTCAAGGGCAACTCACATAGTTGGAGACACGAAGACTGTTGATGGCAGTGAGGACTGGTCGTTCAACCTCTCCATCAAGAGTCTTGGTTTGGTGCCGCAAGAGCTTCAGGAGGCGGATCAGAGCATCTGCATACTAGAATTGTGTTAGCATAGTAACCCCTGAAGAGTCTTTTCGTAGAGCTTACGTGAAGGAAGCAGCCAACGACAGGAGAGTCGTTTCCACAAGTCAAGCACTTCTTAAGAGTGGTGCTGTCCACGTACTTGTCAAAGGCATCTAGCCCATACTCAAGGCTATAGATCTTGTAAACAATTTTCTTTCGTTTCGTGTTAGTCATATCAAAGTTTTGGATTCAAGAGAGCAACTCACATGCCAGCACTCCGCCTCATTGCCACAGTCATAGGTCTGCACAGCATGAATGAGCTCCTCGACGTCCTTGGTGGCGTAGTGAAAGAGCTTGCAGGTCTTCTCCTGAGTGAGGATAGGACAAGGCTTTTCGGGATGCTTGTGCTTGGTGACGTGGACATGCTCATGGGGATGAAGATGCTTGTGCTTATGATCGTGGTGCTTGTGGTGGTGCTTGACCAGGTCGGGATCATGGTGATCGTGGTCCTTATGATTGATCTCCAATGGGATAACGAAACCAACAACGGCTGGTGCTGCGCAGAGCGCAATGAAAGGTAGAGACAGTCTCATGTTTGAAGCCTGCAACAGATCACAAAGAGTGGGAGTAGTGTTCAGGGGCTGTAACGAAAGTGAAGAACGACACCGAGAAAGACAGAACGGATCAAGAATCGAAGCAGTCTTAAATAACCATTATAGCTCGTGTTTACCGTCTCATGCCAGAGACTCTTCTCAGTTCAAAGAATCATCGGCTGATTCCCAAGCCACGATGGTGAACTCTTCAGCCATCAGATGGGCAGTCATACTGGCAACCGCTGAAAAGTCAACTCTATGGTACATACGAGCAATTGCAGGCAAGATGTCTCATGTCATCAGCCCAAAACTACCACCTTCCCACGATTCTTGAAGCCTCATACTCATCAGTTTCAGGTATTCTGAAAGGTTGCTTCAGAGATCTGGTGCTCGAAAGATGCCCCTCACGAGGCGTCCGTATAACCGTATTCGCGGACAGTCAAAATAAGGCCAAAACCGCCGAGGCACAACATCGTTACTGTAGCACCTTCGTGCCCTTTTCACTTGAAGGCACCATGGTTTCCTCGTTTCCACGGGCGACGGGCATCTTTGCTACAGCAGAAGGCACTGAATACGACCATTATGCTTTCAATGAGGCTATCAGGTAAGAACAATACTGCCGGTTGCTGTGTGCATCACGCAAAGTCAATCTGGGTGGCTAAAAGCCTGGATATTCGCGTTCCTTTCGTGTCAAGAACACACAATTTGATAATACACAAGGTAGGTAGGTAAGGTAAGAGAAGGAGAGAGAAGTGATGTTCTTGGATGGTCTAAGTCGAAAGATGGAGTATGTATGTACTCTGTACCTCAAATCTCTAGAATTGGAAGCACGGCCGTGGAGCTTATCGGCGTGATAAGCTCCGATGCTCCGATCTCGAATTAGCGATAACGATAAGCTCTTTAACAAGCTTCCTAACATCTCCACGGACTACTCAGCTTAATCCAACTTCCATAAACCTCAAAGCTCGAGTCAGACCAACTGGTCATATCAACATTCAGTCACTCATTATTCAGTATCTCGCCTCGAAAAACCTTGAGCACACAAATAGGCCTCACAACGCCATTCCGCTGGCCGTTCCAGCTCCTCAATCACTATTCACAATCATCTTTGTTAACCATCAACATCAAACATGGCGCTCTCACCAGTCGTAACGCACACCGTTGAAGCGACGCAGCCGCAAAGCTTCGGGCGCGCAATCTCTTCGCCTCTAAAGAACGTCACTTCGCAAACATCTTCTTCCAATGGAACACCTATGCCTCCTGTCACTTCAGCGCCTGCGCCGACGAGTATTCCCACGACTCTCGATCTTGCAGAGCAGATGAACGATGAGGAGAAGCGCAAATACGTCAAAGGTATGCTACAGCGTTGAACACCTCAAGCGTTGATCTAACAATGCCTAGGCAAGAAGCTCGGTGAGGGTACATACGCCGTTGTCTTCCTAGGTCACTTGCGCTCCAAGCCCACCACTCTCGTCGCCATCAAGAAGATCAAGGTCCAGAAGGAATACGATGAGGGCATGGCCCCCGACGCCGTCCGCGAATTGAAGCATCTCCAGGAGCTCTCCCACCCAAACATCATCTCTCTCCTCTCCGTATTCTCGTCAAAAGATCAGAACCTCAACCTCGTCCTCGAGTACCTTCCCCGCGGCGATCTAGAAATGCTTATTCGCGATACCGAATCCGTGCGCTACGGTGCCGCTGACATCAAGACATGGATGGGCATGCTCACCCGTGCCGTTTGGTTCTGCCACGAGAATTTTGTTCTCCATCGTGATATCAAGCCAAATAACTTGTTGATCGCTGATGATGGCGAAGTCAAACTTGCTGATTTTGGTCTTGCGCGAAGCTTTGCTGATCCTCATCAACTCATGTCCTCGCGCGTCATCACCCGCTGGTACCGACCTCCTGAGCTTCTCTTCGACGCGAAGCACTACAGCGGTGCTGTTGATGTCTGGTCTGTTGGCACTGTGTTCGCTGAACTCATTATGCGTGCGCCTTATCTTCCCGGTAACACAGACCTTGACCAAGTTCGACTTGTCTGCGAACTTGTCGGTACGCCCACCGATGATAACTGGCCTGGTGTCACGAAACTTCCTGGTTATGCTGTTCCTGGACAACACCCGGTCCGTGGTAAGGACTGGTATGAGATGCGCTTCGGTACTGTTGGTTCCGACGGTGTGGACCTGCTAATGAAGACACTTATTCTCGACCCCAAGAAGCGCATCACTGCCCGTGGTATGCTTGAGCATCCTTGGTGGCATTCTGAGCCTAAGCCTACTCGCAAGCAAGATCTGCCCCGAAAGGGTGGCGCAGGGGCTGACGACAAGATGGGCGCTGATCTAAAACGAAGGCCAGGCGTGATTGACGATGACAGGGGCTCCAAAGTTGCGCGCAAGCTTGATTTTGGCGGCATGAAATAGATATGGAGAGACGGGACGTAGAGAGAAGACTTTAATGAACACATGACATGTAATTCGGGTGAGCATTCTTAGGCGTTCGGATATATACAGAATAAGGAGAGGAATACGCGACAAATTCGCAAAGGACATAGCTTGCTCAAAATGTGGCATTTTATTAGATACTCAGATCTCTTTTTCATCATAAACTTGAACCCATCCATATATATCTCATAGCCAAGCGCTCGCTCTCAGCATATCTTCGTGATATTGACATTTCGATTTCGTAAGTATATCCAATCACCCAAATTCTATTCTATTTACTCACATAAGCACACACTCAAGCCCATACATTGCTCTCTCGACACTTTTTCGGACTTGATACCAATCCGCCCTTCTCTGCGCATACTCGTAGACTTCTTCAGCTCGGAAAATGCCACCAAAGCGATCGCCATCTGCGATAACTGTGGCCATCTCACGCGCATGTCGCGGGTCAATCAAGAAAATCTGGCTAAGCTCACGAAGAGCAGCAAAGTATGCGAGCAGATCGGGGTTACGCAACGTCCGAATATACTCATAATAGATATTCATATCAGCAATGAGAGTAACCGCGCCCTCGGTACTGATACGTTGTCGCTTGAGGTGTTTGCAGATCGCTGTGAAAAGACGAAGGCCAACCTCACCGTTGAACACATCAAGCATCGACTTATCTGTTGTACCGACAAGCATTTTTGTGTGTGATGAGACAAGCTCTACAATGCGCTTTGCTGTGGCTGTGGGGCCAATATCAGGCTCTGCAGCAGGCACGGCAGGCTTCTCGACGGTGCTAGAGCTGCCGCCAAATCCAGATCCGAATGCAGAGGACGATGTAGCCGTTGAGGGATCAATTGGGTTGTAATCTGTAGGTGGTTGAGTTGTGCCCTGAAGATACTCAACCTCGTCCATCAGGACATCGATACCCTTGTTTAGGCCGGCCGCAACACTCTCGTCGAGCATTTGCTCAAACTTCTTCTTAGCCAGACCTGCTGGGTCCAAGAAATCGTTGCGGTCAGCAATTTTCGGGGTGGCAAGTTGCTGCTCGTAGAAAACGTCAATCATCTGTGAGATAAGGTCACCGACGTTGACAAGCTCGATGAAAGTGACGAGCGGTGCCACGCCCGCTTTGTTATGATCATTAACCTCTCGCGGGTTATAGTGCGACAGATGGTCGACAGCCATATCAAAGCCCGTCTTGACATGCTTCTGCCCCAAGATACGCAGCAACACCACGAATACGGTCGCACACTGCTCTCGAGCTTCTCCACCAGCTTGTCCACCAAGACTAATGAAAACTGAAGCACGTCCCAGGCTGGTTTTGGCAGCGTGCACCAGGTTGAGCGCCACCTCAATGCTGAAAAGCGACTTGATACCTTCAAGCTTCGACGCCATGATTGCAGCCTTGGCTGCCAGCTCATCCGTTGGTGCCTGGGCAGGCAATGGCGTCCTCTGGCCATCAAGTGCCAGACTGGGCGTCTCAGGTCGCGAGGGCTGCGGTGTAAGTGTCCCAGAGCCATTCAGCTCCTTTGACACTGTTGATGTAGGTCTCGATGATGCGGGTTTGCTAGTTGCGAAAGGAGATCCCATCGGAAAGCTGGGTAGCACAGTAACAGGCATCATAACGACCTTCTTGAAAGAGCTCAGAAAGTCCTTCTTGTCAGCTGAGCGATTTATGTTTGACATATAGAACGACTCCAGGGACGAGTCTTGTTCAGAAAGCTTCTTCTCCCAGCTTGCCACTTCTGTATCAGCATGATTTGTGAAGAAGTCTAGCTCAGCTTGGAGGTATAAGTCTAGATGCGGCTCGAAGACGCGCAGTGAAAGCTCCTTTGCCATCTCTTTGACATCCCGCTTGGACCCTTCAGGGGGTGTAAGAGACTGAAAGAAAAGCATCGTCTGCTCAAAAACGCCCGACACGGCTTTCAAATAAGCCTCCATACTACGTTCATGCGCCTCGTCGAACAGTGGTGTTGAATACTCCATGATAATATCCTCCCTGACCTTTTCCACAAATATCCAGAATACATGTTCAGGATTAGGAAAGATGCGTTGCATCACTGAGGCCTGCTCATTGACTTTGGCCAGCAACTTTTCGAAGAACAGCCGTGAAGGTTCGAGTATGATGCTTTCGTCCTGTGTCGCTTGGTTGAGACAGTCCATCGCGTTTACCACCAATAACTCATCATCGTTGAAAATAGGGTGCTTATGCACAAAGAGATCTATCCCTCCAGTGGCGCTATCAAGTGTGTGCAGGACATGTGCGTAGCGATGCATTCGTCCGTCAACGTCCCAGAATTCGTATCCTTGCTCAAACTCCCGTAGGACAGCACTCTCAAAGATCCCCATCATTGATGAGAGCTTCTCCTCTCGCTCCTGGCATCCAGTTGACCAATCGCTATGAGCGAATCTCTTGAGATTTGCGAGCATTTGCGCTTGTTTCTCTGGGTCGCGAAACGCTTGGAAGACGATAGGGTCCGCATGAGACCTTGCCTTCACCAAATCAAAGTAGAAGGGAGCCAAGGCGCCGTATATCTTGCCGTACTCATGCCTCGCGCCACCCCGAATGCTCCTTGCTTTTTTGAAGACATCCAGATATGCTGCCGGGTCTTCGGCGGGGTTTGTTGAAGCCCCCACCGCCATCGTCTCGAAACCATCACGAATATCTGCCACGGCGCGATTCTTAGCCTCCTCTAATGAGGCATCGAATAGTGTTGTTCCTGTAGATTGCGTGGGGCTTGCAAGTCCTTTGGCTTGTTTTGCAGCTGCATTTGCACTTTCTCGTCTTCGTCGCACTGCGTCCTCGAATCGACGACGAGCCTCGACTTCGTCCCAACAATCCATGCTCTTTAATCTTGAGACCCATCTAGTGTCATCGTAAACCATATCTCGCATGCGGTGTGATGCGCGGGCAAAGCGCAGCTGATCGGCGACTGGCAAATAATCGAGGATCGTCACCAGTATCTCTGGATGTCATGTTAGTCGCAGGTGCTCGGTATCGCGAACCTGGTATCTTGCATACCCGCTGGAAGACTGGCTTTCGTGTCGAGCATCTCGGCCGCCTTCAGAGTGCTAAGGATGCTGCCACGATTGGCAGCACCCGTTTTGGACCTATACATGATTGGAGAGGTATATCTATCGCGATTTCGGTCGTTTCTATATTGTCTCGTGTTTGGAGGTGCCCTCTAGGTAAATTGTCTCCTCGTGGTCGCTGTTCAACGATTGTTTCCTCTGCGATGCCATGGGGCGTCCGTCAATCCATTCATTTAGATGATCTGGTCTAGCATATGGCAGCGGGACTCTCCACCTATAGCGACACCGACATTGGAAGACTACTTGAGCTTCGGGGTTGTTGGACCGGTCGTAAATTCCGTCTCTTGGTGATTTTCGTGATGTTTATAACTCGCAATGAGTTAGTTGTAAGAAGAGGAAGTTGTTGGACTGGGTCATGTTACATCTTGCGAATGGAAGCTGTTGGTTAGCTCTGACAGGGGGAAAGTTGCAGTCCACCCACATGTGCCCCGCATCAACGATGAAGTTGGAGGTGGCATCCGAGCTTACCCTGTACCTCCAGACATAAGGATATTTCTTAAAGTTATAGCTATTTCGTGTGATGTCTTGAACCCAGATATTTAATGCAGATTTGTTCATACTGCGTAAGTTAACTTACCTCCTTAAAGCCCCTTTGTTAATTTCGCCCGTAACAGTCTATCCATGAGAGTTATCGTTGAAATTCCCTTCTAAAACAATAGTTGATATAAATCTACTACCCTTTCAATGCTATACATCCATCATGCCAACTCTAGCCCAGTTTTTTTACCAGCAAAACTCCAAAAACACCTTTGAACAACATAGTCAAACACATTGCAGAACGAGTTGCCTATACAAAAACTCAAGTCCGTAAGGATACCCCTACCAACTCCCATTGCATGCGAATGCCATATATATCATGCTCCTACATGTAGTTCACTCAAGGAATGTGAAGAGATGTGTGTGCAACACATTCATAGCCCGAGTAGCATCTCGTGCACTTATCACACAAGAGATGTTGATCTCACTGGCACCTGTTCGACTTCGTTAGTGGACTTCTCTTTAAAGATGAGAATCATGCATACCTTGTGAGATCATTTCGAGGTTGACATTGTGTTCTCCCAGAGTAGAAAACATGCGGCCTGCAATACCGACCATGTTCTTCATCTCAGCACCAACCAAGCTCAGAATAGCCATGTCATTGAGCACGCTCACATCGCCACACTCAGCAAGCTCTTTGGTGGCTTTACCAAAAGCCTCGACTTGCTGACTGCTCGAGTGAATAGCCATAGAGACGTGAACCTCAGAAGTAGAGATAAGATCGACCGAGATGGAGTAAGTGTCGAGGATAGAAAATACGCGAGCGAAGAACCCGTGCGAAATCGATCTCTTATTCGAATGCACATTGATCACGCTGATGTGGTCCTTGATGGTGACAGCTGTAGGTCGCTTCGGCTTCTTGTGTTCTGCCTGAGGCTTGGGAGAGTCCCGTGTAAGTTGATGACTGGCCGAGAGGATGCGGTCAGGAACGACAATAGTGCCATTGCCGCGAGGGTTCTTGACATTCTTGATGCGAATAGGGATCGGCGGTTCAGCACGGATCACTTGGTCCATAGTGAGGTGGTGGATAACCTCTGAGCCATAGAATGTCAACTCAGCTGCTTCGGAGGGTGTGATGGACGAGAGTAGGCGTGCGGTGGGCACCTTGGAGGGATCGGCTGAAAAGATACCATCAACCTCCTTCCAGACCTGGAGTTCCTCAGCCTTGACGCCCACGGCGCAGAGGGCCGCACAAAGGTCAGTGTAGCCACGACCGATGTCACCATCGATGAGACTGCCAGGAACGTTGCCAAAGAAACCGGTAACGACAGGGACGCGGCTCTCACAGGCGGCGATCTTTCGGGTAAAAGCCTCTGAGGCAGTGCGGTAGAACTTGTCGTCGAGTCTCTCGCTAGCATCAT